GTCATCTTGAGCAAAACGAGAATGCGACGAACACATGTTACACCACTTCGCTATCTGGCAGCCACAGACGCATCCAGCAGTGTTGCGAGTCAGCAAAATATCACGCATGCGCATGAAAGTCCCTTCTACTGCTATGCTCAGTTTCCCCTCCCCTTTGGCCATTACTTACAGCGGAAAAAAATAAAGTCGGATACTTTTTGGACATATGGTATAGGTATTGTAAGGAAGGGGGAAACAAATCTTCTAGCAGGCAGTTCTTTACTTATGTGAAATGCATAGTGTATCTAGTGCAGGGGTTAGGTTCCTTGAGAAAGTGTTGAGTAAATTCAAGTTCAATATACTCATATTTAATACATTATGGCTGGGGCTTTACAAACTTTGTTATGCTGTGACTTCCTCAAGTAATAATACATTTATACTCCCCCCCACTGATTAAAGATATTAATGTTATTAGAATTAATGAGCAGGAATTCTGGCATATTTCCATTTTTAAATTTCCAAATGTGTTAGTGATCCAGATCTTGCTGTTGCTGATGATGTGCATTAATACTACAATTTCAAATTTCAAATAATTCTTTACAATGTGGTGACCCCTGAAGTGGTCACAGCCCACAGTTTGAGACACTATAAGCACTGAGCACTGGAATCCATAGCTTGGGTTGCATGCCTGTAGATATTTCAGATATAATGACTTCATGTATTGCTGACTTGTTGGTCCATAGGTTGTAGAACTAATATGGTGTTAGGAGGTAAAAACACTATGTAGACATCAAGATCAGTATTTAAGAGGGTAGAGTTTATTAGTGATAGGATGTTGTACTTAGTACTGAGGAGTCACTGGTGTGATATCATTGTTTTCATTGTTCATGCCCCAACAGAGGATAAAATTGATATGGTCAGCTTCTCTGAGGAACTAGAACATGTATTCAATAAATTACCCTCAATAACATGTGAAAATTATGTTAGGAGATTTCAGTGTCTAGGTAGGGAGGACACTTTCAAACCAAAAACTGCGAATGAGAGTTTACACAAAATCAGTGATGATAATAGAGTTAAGGTAGTAAACTTTGCCACAGCAAAAAATCTGGCTGTCAAAAGTACAATGTTCCCACATCATAGCATTCATAAATAAAGTGTCACATTCAAATTGACCATATTTTGATAGGAGATGGCACTCAAGTGTACTTGATGTCTGAGTGTTCAGAGGAGCAGACTGTGATACTAACCACCATCTGGTGGTTGCTAAGGTCAAGGAGAGACTGGAGTGAGTAAACAGACAATGCACAGATTTCATATGGAGAGATTCAATTTCAAGAAATTAAGTGAGGTAGAAGGTAAAGCACAGTATCAGGTTCAAATGCCAAACAGGTTCGCAGCATAGGAAAACTTAGTGGACGCTGTGGACATTAATATGTTAAAAAGAAGGTAAAGCTATCCCTGTAACAGGCCTAGGAGGCCCATAGGGTTATGAGATGTCAAGGCTCCCACATTTTCCAGACAGTCGGCTAACAGAATGTGGTGAGGTTGTCACCCTTACACACCGGTCATCCTTTACCCTAGGAAGATTCTTGGTACTCTTCTCTTTTGCACTACATGTTTCAGCACTAATGTTCCATCTTCAGGTGCGTTTTGTCTATGCACGTCTAACTACTGTATTGCATGCCCTGATGTCTTCATATTAAAATGACTAAAATATATATTCGTCATGTATGATAATAGTATAATGCACGCAGTCACAGGAGCAAGACACAACAAAGAGCACATACACATGAATATAGGAAGAGTGCTCCGACAGAGGAGGATTAGCGTGATTTGCGTGTTGAGATACGACATAAGGATGACAAATTCTGAAAAGTTTTAATATTTAAAATCTGTTATTATATATGACAAATATATATTTTAGTCATTTTAATATGAAGACATCAGGGCATGCAATGCAGTAGTTAGACGTGCATAGAGAAAACGCACCTGAAGATGGCACATTAGTGCTGAAACATGTAGTGCAAAAGAGAAGAGTAAGGTGAAATGTGTATGCACTGTAAGACGGTTAGCATAAGTCATGGACATGAGTCAGTGCAACAGGACGCTAAAATATAACATTCTTGGTACTCATTTATATTAAAGGCTGTATCAACCCCAGAGCCACAATGCAGCTGGAAACTTGAAAAATTATTACAATATCAAAATTTCCGCCAAAATGAGTCGGGGCTGTTATGAATTGAAGAAACATGAGCCTTGGTTTGATGAATGATGCTTAAAACTGTTACATCAAAGGACACTTGCTAAATTGTAATGGTTACAGGATTCAAGCAAAATAAATGGAGATAACCTGAACAATATAAGACATGAAGCATACAGACATGTCAGGAATAAAAAGAGGGAATATCTGAAAGACAAAATTAATTAACTTGTAATGAGCAGTAATAACAAGAATCTTAAAGAGACCTGTATTGAGGAATAAATGAATTTAAGAGGGGTTAACCAACCTAGAAGTAACAGAGTAAATGATTAGAATGGTGATCTGCTTGCAGATTCCCACAGTGTTTTGAACAGCTGGAAGAACTACTTCTCTCAGTTGTTGAATGTACAGAGGGTCAGTGATGTTAAGCAGGTAGAAATTCATATAACTGAGCTGTCAGAACCTGATCCTAGTTCTTTTGAGGCTGAAATTGCTATTGCAAAGCTGAAAAGGTATAAACTGTCAGATAGTGATCAAATTCTGGAAGAAATTATTCAAGAGAGGAGGTGAAACATTACAGTCTGAGATCTGTGAACTCATTAATTCTGTTCAGAATAAGGAAGAATTATCTTGAAGAAAGCCTGTGATTCAGTTAGAGGAAAGTATTGTACAATATTCTGATAGAGTTTGGGGTATAGTAAAGTCCTTACAGGTAAACGTTTGTCTGATAATTTTGCCATCCAAAATGGTCTGAAACAAAGAGATCCTTTATTGCCACTGCATTTCATCTTTACTTTAGAATTATGCTATTAGGAAGGTCCAGGGAAACTGTAAGTAAATGGGATAAATCAACTGCTTGTCTATGCTGATGATGTGAATCTGCTGGGAGATGACATACATACCATAAAGAAGAACACAGAAACCTTAATTGATACTAGTAAGGATGTTGGTCTGGAAGTTAATTCAGAGAATACAAAGGGTATGTTGCTCTCTCATCACCTGAATGCAAGGCAAAATAATGACATAAAGATAGCTAACAGATTCTTTGAAAATGTTCAGATATTTGAGAACAACTATAACAAATCAAAACCTGATACTTACTTACTTACTTACTTATTTATTTATGGATCTTAGCCCTTCTTGAGGAGAAGCCAAATCTGCAAATAATCACAATTTCCCAGTATTTTATGGAATCAGAAGATTCATTACTGTGTTCACAAGAGCCCTCCACTGGTCTCTGTCTTGAGCCAGATCAATCCAATCCTTACCATACCATCCTATCTCTCTAAGATCCATTTTAATATTGTCCACCTACCTACGCCTTCGTCTTCCCAGTGGTCTCTTTCCTTCTGGCTTTCCCACCAATATCCTATATGCATTCCTCTTCTCCCCATTCGTGCTACATACCCTGCCCACCTCATTCTTGACTTGATCATTCTAAGTATACTTGGAGAAGAGTACAAGTTATGAAGCTCCTCATTATGCAGTTTTCTCCAACCTCCTGTCACTTCATCCCCTTTGGTCCAAATATTCTCAACACCCTATTCTCAAACATCCTTAATCTATGTTCCTCCCTTATGTCAGAGACCAAGTTTCACACCCATACAGAACCACAGGCAAAATTATAGTTTTGTATATTCTAATTTTTATGTTTTTCGACAGTAAATGAGAAGACAAAAACCTGATTCAGGAGGAAATTAAGAGGAGATTGAAATGGGGGTAATGCTTACTAGCATTCAATCCAGAACCTTATGTCTCATCGTCTGATGTCAAAAAACGTAAAAATTAGAATATACAGATCTATGAATTTGCCTGAGGCTCTGTATGGGCGTGAAAGTTTGTCTATGACATTAAGGGAGGAACATAGACTGAGGGTGTTTGATAAAAGAGTGCTGAGGAGAATATTGGGACTGAAGGGATGAAGTGATAGGAGGCTGGAGAAAACTGCATAATAGGGAACATTATTACTTATACTCTTTGCCAAGTATAATTAGAATGAGCAAGCCAAGGAGGATGAGATGATAGGGAATGCAGCATGAATGAGGGAGAAGAGGAATGCATTTAGGATATTGGTGGGAAAGCCAGAAGGAAAGAGACCACTGTGAGGACCTAGCTGTAGGTGGGTGAATAGTATTAAAATGGATCTGAGATATGATGGTAGTATGGACTGGATAGATCTGACTCGGGATAGAGACAAATGAACTTTGTAATGAAAGTTTAGATTCCATAAAATTTTTGGAATTTTTTGAGTATCTGCACAACTGGTAGCTTCTCAAGAAGGGCTGAGCTCTGTGGAATCAGTCGTTCATCAAGATGCCTTAATGCAGTGTCTTATGGCCATTTTCTGCCAGACTCTATATTCACATTTTCATTGTTAGGTAAGTAATTGTTTGGATGTTGTTTTTGTGTATATATGTAAATCCGGGTTGGACAAATACACATTTGATGCATATTTACTGTACACTAATATGTGGGAACAGTTGACCTCCTGGTCTTGTTGCCATCCAAATACCAAATTTATGCCACATTTGCATGTAAAATATTGACATCTGTAACCACAGCAATATCTGCTTAATTTCCTGACCCCTTCCTTGTAAAGATAATCTGTCTCCCTCCCTTTTTTCTTCATACATTAAAATATGAATTGTTATTGTCTCCACTGGTTCTTTGTTCTTGTTTTTGCAGTCATCATAAGTATCTCATGTTCTTCCTCACCTAACAGTTTACCTCTTGAATCTTTTAATCTGCATATATGCTAATAGTACAGCACTGATAAATTTCAAGTTACATAATCTGTTCTACATTATTGTGAAATCAGTATAGACTTAATAATTGTTTTGTATATGCAGATACATTGTATTTCATACAACAGCATTCTTCTTTCTCAGGTATGAATGCAATATATTTTTGAGATTTTTTGTGTGTTCTTTGAACAGTGTATAATGTACATGCCATAATGAATCATATCTGTCTCCATGTTTCACATTAGAATGAATTTCATTGAAGTGTTATGTTCCAGGTTTACACAAAAAGTGATGGAGCAAAATTTTGCTTTGGAGCAGTCCAGTGTAATTCAGGTCAAACTTTTAATATTACCTTTGAAACACTGCTACCTTTGCTCTTCCACGTCATAAAGCTAGTAGTCTGACTAGAATGATGTGTGTGGAGGCTACATAATTATTTTCTGTTCTGTACAAACAGGGAACTGGATATTGGTTGAAGTTCTGCATATCTCTGAGATCTGTGCTTCAGAAACAAGGTTTCTCTATACAGCTGTCAGCATTTGAGTTGAATCACTTTGAAACATTTTGTATAAATTTGGCAAAACTACTCACAGGGAAACAGTGAGTATACAGTATTATTGCTTTGTATCTTTCTAGCAGAAAGAGGGTTAAGATTTGAAGCTTACACAGCAGATAAATTAACTGAAATTGTGATTGAACTAAATGCTAGTGTTTCAGAAACATGCTCTTCCTTGATAATTGTGGTCAGTTTGGTACGTGACTGTAAGTAGCTGATATATGTGTACGTTGTATATCAGTCAGTATGTATTTGTGGCATTTACTAACACACACTATGTCAACTGTGATGATGGGGACAGAGGAAGTCTCCAAAATGTTGGTTTGTAGCCCAGCCATGATGTGGCTGGTCACAGTAGAGCAGCTTAGTGTTAATAAGAGTATTTCTAGTAGGTTCTAGAGGGTTCTTATGGTGTATAATGCTTAAGATTACTGAGTTTTTGGACTTCATCCATTGCCTGGTATCCTAAAAACTAGAGAACACAGTGTTTCAGAATCTTCTATCCTCAAGCAAGGTGGAAGACACCTACTTTGTTGGGTCCCATTGAAAGGGCTAACCTCAATCACTGGACAACCCATGTCAGTGTAACTACAGCTATATAAATACCATAAATTAGGCTTTGCCAGTAGGAGATAACAAGAAAATATACAATGAGAATGGTGATAAATCATGCACAGACCTGAAACTAAGATAGAAAAGGAGGTGGAAATTTTATGCAACAAACGTAGCCAATAATCCAAGTCCATGGGAAACAATGTATACGATTAACTGGATAATTTCACATTGTGAAACCATATACAGTGTGTTCTGTCCAAACCTCCCAAATTTTAATTAATCATTGCGAACAAATTGTGATAAATTATGGATTATAATTAACACTAGATGAAAGAAATGATCAAGTCAAGGAGGATGAGGTGGGCAGGTCATGTAGCACGAATGGGGGAGACGAATGCATGTAGGATATTGGTGGGAAAGCCAGAAGGAAAGAGACCACAGGGAAGACCAAGGCGTAGGTGGGTGGACAGTATTAGAATGGATCTTAGAGAGGGGATGGTATGGATTGGATAGATCTGGCCCAGGTTAGGGACTGGTGGAGGGCTCTTGTGAACACGGTGATGTGCCTTCGGGTTCCATAAAATGCTGGGTAATTCTTGAGTAGCTGCAGAATTGGCGGCTCCTCCAGAAGGGCTCGGCTCCATGGGTAAGTAAGTAAGTGCTAGATGAAAGAAAAACTCAAAGAATTTCATTTCTGTTTTTCTTCAGTGAGGCTGCAGTATCTGGCTGTGTATACCTTGACATGTTAGAACAGTTCCTGTATTCCCAGGTAGCTGATCTGCAGCCTAATATAATCTTCCAACAGGATGGAGCCCCCCCTCCCCACCTTCCAAGATCGCTGGATTGGGCGTGGCGGACCAATTCGGTGGCCACCACGTTCACCAGACCTCACTCCACTTGATTTCTTCCTGTGGGGTTACGTGAAGGACCGTGTGTTCATGCTTCCAGTGAATGACCTCCCAGATTTACGAGCCCGCATCCGTGAAATGATTGCTCCTGTACCAATGGACATGTTGGAAAGAACGCAGCAAGAAATTGAATACAGATTGGATATTGTTCATGCTACCAATGGTGCACATGTGGAGGTTTTTAATGTGTCAAATAAAATTTTTTGAGTTCTTGTATTTCCTGTAGCTTCATTTTCTGTCATTCATATTTTCTGTTCTAAGATCTGATAAAATGTGGGAGATTTGAATGGATCACCCTGTACTACATTGACATTTCAGAGGAGCATGGTACCTCTGTCTTCAGGGTCAAAGAGGAAGTGCCGAGCTGTTTCATGCTTCATGCTGGTTTTGTACTTGGCTTACTGTTCAGCCCTGAAGATGGAGGGCAGCATGTTCCCCAGAAACACTGGTTAGCTTTCAGTGTGCAGCATTGCATTATAAGCCAGAATTTCAAACTCGTTAGTTGTGCAGTGTTACGTGACATGTACAGGAACTGCAGTTGCTTTAAAAGTTATAAGATATGGTCACTGTACATGTAAAGCACTTATTTATGTGGTACATTTCTTACATGTATGATCATTGTATTCACCTGTTACAGTGCTGTGGCAGTACATACATATGTGAAAGATGTAGTTAGTGTTTCCAGATTCCATCAGCTTCTCATCAACATACCTGGTGTCTTCTGTAAGTAACATTTGTTTCAAGCAGTACCTCTTGACTCCTGCACACACAAAACAGTATTCTTTTCCCATCATTCCTATTTCTACATCCTTCGTCACTGTACTTACCATATCCTAGCAGTGGCAGGCCCATTTCCTGTACACCCCCAGGGAAAGAGCTCCCGGTACCCATTGGGTAGAAGGTTGGGTGGACCCCAGAGCCAGTCTGGACAGTTCTATTCTTATTTTATTCTGGTGTTATAAAGAACATGTAAAGTTTTTAACATAAAAAGTATATAACTTTATAAGTTCTTTATAAAACCAGAATAAAATAAGAATAATAGAAAAAGATCTACAAGTCTTGAAATCTTATAAGATGTTAATTAATTCTGTCCAGTGTGACTGATGAAGTATTTTCTCCTTCCTAATATTTTATCCTTAGCATGTTTCATTCTTATAGACCTTGTTCAGAAGGATATCAATACAATTAGAAACCCCTATTACAACATGAAACCTGTTAAGGATGAAATATTAAAAAGGAGAAAAAACTTCATCGTTCACACTGGATGGAATTAATTAACCTTTTATAATATTTCTAGTGTGATGGCGCGGGATGAAACAAATCAAACTTGAAATTTTGTTAGTAGGAAAATTGGCTGTGTGAGTGTTGCTCAGAATTCATTGTTTTAACACTAATACCATTAACCACAATTTTAAATATGGCTGCTAGTTCTATAGAAGTTTAACATTTGCATAGTTTTGTAAGAAGATCTGTAAATTGTTGCATTTATTGCATGAAATTTGTTTCATCCCCACTGTTGGAATATGATGTCTTTATAAGTGTCTGAAATTATGGTGCTTTTTCTGTGTAATTCTTTGGCACCAAGATTTTCATCATCAAAGACTAAGATTATTTTGTCACTTAAAGTGAGTTACCAGCCTCTGCTTTGTTAATGAAAACATAAGAATGGTGTTTGAAAAGGTTAAACATGTTGGACTTGAAAGGATTCTGACGATGGTGTATACTGTACTTCTTTTGGCTTATTTTGGACTTCATCCATCATCTAGTATGTAAAAGACCACGACGTTTCAGAGATTTGATCTGTCTCCGTCTTCAGGTGGGTAAAGAAGGATAAACCTACTCAGTTGGGCCCGTTAGAAAGAGCTAGTCTCAATCACTGGATCCTTCCCTACCCACCTGAAGACGGAGACAGAGCCAATCTCCGAATCGTCGTGGTCTTTTGTCTTTTACATACTAGACAATGGATGAAGTCCAAAATAAGCCAAAAGAAGTTAAGCATGTTGTTTGAAAAGGCAGTAAGCTGACTTCCCTGAGTACATATTTCATTAGAAAGGCATGTCATCATTGGAGATAGTAAGGGGGAAGCCGACGGTGGATTGCAGCATGATCAGTGCAAAGTGAAGAAAATTTTGCTGGAAACTCCTGTGATTTTAACAGTTTGAGAACTGAGTTAGGCAAGGCTCTGCTTAGCTCATAATCAGATCCCTCTGTTGAGTCCACTGGAAGAGCAAGTGCCAATGGAAGGGACTTGTAAGTTTAAACAGTAATTTTGTCAAAGTAAATGAGAGGCAAGTACATGGTGCAAAATTGAACTCACATTTCCTTATAAACTGGAAGCATACATAATATAGGATGTCAGAGATGTTTTGCAGGTTGGCTCTTTTTATTCTTTAGATGAGTATTATGAATGGAAAACAAGGGATGATTCTGTTAATTACAGATAAATAAAACAACACTAGTCATTTTTTAAAACTTTTATTCTATGATACCTATAATTCTTTAGATATGCTTTTACACTATTATTGACAATGTTAATATTTATTTTATTATGATGATAAGTTGCAGTGCAAGTATTATATGCATGTTGTATTTAATTATAACAATGTATCAGTCATTGTATCAATAGTTATTGCAACAATGGTTGTAAATGTGTTGTAATATCTTTATGACGTCCTCTGGATTAATTTTATTGTAACTTGGGGCTTTGACGTGTTCTATATCTGGAGGTGTCTGATGAACAAAAATAAATTGAAATTGAAATTCCTCCTATATCATAACTGTTTAAGTGACATAGTATATGGTCAGCCTGAAATTATGTTCTCTTTGTATAGTCTCAAAGTACATACAAGAGCCGACACCTGCATTTATGAGGCTGTTTGGATCATCCCTAGAAAATGGCAATGTTTTAAAGGTGAGTTTTGACACTTCAAACAAGGTTGCTGTGATATTGAACAAAATAATTATTGTTGCTATATATAGGATTTTTAAAGTAATATATTGGGCTTCAGTCCAATGAAATATGAAAGAATACCTGCAATTGGGGTCCTACAGCTTAAAAACTCCAAAGGCACTGTGTGTTTTGGTAAATTGCCCTTAATGGACAGAAGGTAATTTGCATGATACACAGAGTGAAAGTACTGATCTTAGTTCACCCTCACTGCATTTGCGAGGTATCATCAGCACTGATTTTGTGAGCAATACAAAAGACCAAAAGGTTTTGGTAACTAACTTTCTGATCCATTGTGCACAACACCTTCTTATTACTCAGTTCAGTGTTTTCAGCAGGAGCAAACAAATTTCCCAAGTGTGCACTGTATGTGAAATTATGTTTGAAGACATTTGCATGAAACAGAAGGTTGTGCTGCTGCCAGGGGAACCACATATGCTAAAAACTATACAAGGGAAAAACAAAAAGAGGGAATAAGAAACAAAGAAGTGAGAGAATTTAGAGGTTAAGTACTGTGGCAAGATATTCTCACGTGTATGAGTGTGACTATAGGTGCGTGCGAACACACACACACACGCACTGCCTAGCAACAGGTTTACATACCACAATGTACTGATAAACAGTAGAGGACACAAGGTGAACAGAGGTAGAATTCTGAACAAGATTGTGAACATGAAATTAAGAGAAAAATCTGAAGAGGGGGCACAGATTAAGATGAAGAAACAGTAAGGTAGGAAAAATGTCGCACACCGGGAAAGTATAACGCAGGAAGAAACTGAAGTGGGGAGCTTCAGGAAGCCGGAGATAGATGGAGAGGCCCAGTCGTTAGAAGATCTGTACAGAGGTGGAATTGTGTAGGGCAGAAAGGTAAAGAGGAGAGGGGAAGGGGAAGAAGAAGCAGAAGAGGGGAAATACAAGGAAGTGGCACTCGGGCAATTATTTCCTGTCTGAATAATAATCATACTGTAACAGTGAGATTTGTGACACCTCAGAAAACCATATGCAAGCAAAAACATTGTCACAGTCTGCTAGCCAGGAGATATGTTTTGAACAGTTGGCCTGGCTGCATATCAGTAAAGGAGGCTGTCAGTTGCCTGAAATAAGTAAACTTCATGCACTTAAAGGAGATAAGGATAAGGAAGAATAGTGATAAGACAAATTAATAAATAAGGATGGAAAGATCTGAAAAGATCCAGTTTAGTTCAGAATTGTATCGTGCCATTAAAAGCTCAATCGAGAAAAAAGAGGTGCCAATAAAGTATATTCATTTTTGTTTTATACAGATTGATGGATGAAAGTCTCTAGTCTCTTTGTTGTTCCCACAGTCTTTCATTACTTCTTGCCAACTATTTCCACTCTTCTGTTAATGTCTAGTACCTGGCCAAACAATTGTGTTCTGGGTCATCACATAGGTTTTGTTTCTTTAAATTTTAACTATAATGCCCTTCTTGATATCTTTGTGAAGTTCATTTCTTTTATCCGGTCAGATGATTGTAATTATTTCTCTTCTATATATGATAAGTTTTGAATTCCATTTTCTCAAATATTTTAAATTCCAATTCTATGCCTTGTAGTTTTCCCCCTAATTTTAATTTTTTCCTTTAGAAATAAATGTTTATGTGGTATTTCTTGAAGCAGTTGAACACTGCCTTTTTGGAAGTAGTTGCATGTACTGTATATTAAGAGATTGCAACTACTTTTTTCCTCATTATGGGCGTAATCGATCATGGAAGTGTGATGGTTAGTTAATCCTGCAACTCCCATGTGTAAAAAATTTTAAATCTTATGTAAATGCCTTTGTTTCTCTTTACAAACTGCTGTATTTGACGGCACGTAATGTCCATTAGCATTTTATTGGGAAATATTTGTTTTTCTCCCCCCCTGCATTTGTCATATATATTAAGCATGTGAAACATTTTGGGGCGGTTTCTTCCTTGCATTTGACATACATATTAAGCATGTGTGTGTGTGTGTGTGTGTGTGTGAATGACCTTTCTCAGTTTGAGATGAGAATTTGTAAAAAAATATAACTGTCATTATGGTTTATAATGCAAGCCACTTTTATACAAATTTACTAAAGTGTACTGCTTATTCATTTGATGTTGGATCCTGTTTCATTGAGAAATATTTGTATCATGAAACATCTGGGGGGTTTCTTCCCTGCATTTGGCATGTATTTAATGATGTGACTTGTTCAAGTGTTACTGTTGTAGCAATTATGAATGCCGAATAAAATGAATGAATGAATACATATTTAGCATGTGTGTGTGGATGACCTTTCTCAGTTTGAGATGAGAATTTGTAAAAATTTTAACTGTAATTATGGTTTATAATGCAAGCCACTTTTATACAGATTTACTAAAGTGTACTGCTTATTCATTTGATGTTGGATCCTGTTTCAGTGAGAAATATTTTTAGATCATTGTATTAAAACAAATTGATTTTTAGGGCAACATCATCTTTCCCCATAAGCAGAAAAATGGAGAGACAGATTTTGCTAACAAGTTGATTTGTGGCAGTGTTGACAGTCAACTGTCATTCTGATGGACTTGTAGTTTGCATGGTGTTGCAAAAAGCAAAAGCAGTTATATGAAGATTCACAGATTTTGATGTTGAAGAATCTGTTCAGATTGAGGTTTCTTTTCCCAGTTCAGTGTAAAAATTGGGGACTCATGGCAATTATATGTATATTATTTGCTCATGAAAGAAAAGCAGTTTTGACAACTTAAAATGGCAGTTTGGCGCACAAGTAGTAATGCTTCTGACTTGTGTTCAAGAGGCACCCTGTTCAGGTATTAGCCAGGACATCAACTAGCTTGAGATTTTTTGTGATTTTTCTCAGTCCATTCAGGCAGTTGGTAGGATTGAATATCAGGCTAGGCCAGCACATCTTCCTTCCACATCTTGTGCAGTTTGTTACTCACTAATCATTGGCCATCTGAAACTATTAATTCTGAGCTACTTACAACTTCATAATATAAACCATAAATAACTTGACATTACAGGTCACTTAATCTTAATGCTGATTACATTATTAAAATTTCAGCATCATGAAAAATTGATCTTCAACCAGTTATTGTTTCCTCTTGACAGGTGTTTCTGACACTTCCACTACATCTGCGTGCAGCCGGGTGTCTTTTGCGCCTCTTGGAACGTTGGTTAGTTGCTGAGGATGGAGACCCTACTGATAAGTCCTGGTGGCATGTCCCACAGACCTGGCATCATGGCAGCCAATTTCCGGCTGGTCTATTTGAAATCTTTCTTAAGAGAAAGTGGAAGAGTGAGTTGTTATCTCTGCTTGATGTTCATCCCAGAGACATTTGTTGGTGGAATGATCTTCCTGAGGTAGGTTTCATGTCTTCTAACAGTAACAAATTATAACGATTTACATTTTAAGCATTTCAAAATTATAAATTTTATGTTATCAGGAGAAGTGATGTAGGTTACATATCTTGTGGCTTACCCTTCATTTGATCTTTTTCCATCCAGCATATAAGTAAACAGAGGAATAGGCACTGCTGTAGGTAATCAACTGGTTAATAAATGGAAATATTCTTTATTAAAAGGGGCAAAAATATTTAATGACTACAGTTACTGTATTTTCTGAAAATAGTATATTGTGACATGGTGGCTGAAAGGCAGATTATTATTATTATTATTATTGGAGGGGGTGGGTTTCCCCATGCACCATGACTAATAGTCTATTGTACGTCCCCCTTTGATATTCTACCAGTCTCCATACCCTGCTGGTACTGGTGCTTGCTATCAGCCCTGTTCAGCCAGCGAGGCAGGCTGTGGTACCCGATGCTTCCCCATCTACCGGAGGCATTGGAAACTACTTGGGCGGGAAACTTTTTACCTAATTTTGCTCAGATATCTCCTAGAGACAGGATCTTTTACGTGCCGTAAATCTACGACATGGGGCCCATGGCTTAAAGTCCCTCTTGGAGGACTTGTTCCCTGAATTTTTCCGCCCTTAAAAATTCCACGACCTCCGCCGGGTTTGAACCCACATACTTAGGATCAAGCTTGCAGCTGTGAACTGACTGAAAGTGCCAGTCACAAAAGTGCATGATCATTTGGATGTAAAATGTGCTCAGATTTGGTTTTATTATGATTTTTGCAAAGTTACCCTTCTTCTTGCCATTACTGAGTTTTGCACTTGAGCAGTAAGTGTTTTATATGAGCATTATGTGAAGCATAAATATGCTAGGAAGTATCACAAGTATTCCAAAAGAAAGTTTACTGATGTTTTTGTTTCCCCCAAGAGACAGTAGTATTCAGAATCTTGTCAATAACTGGCTTATAAATAGAGACCACAAGAAAATTATGAAAACTGTGGCCCCACAAATTCACAGCAGTGCGCTGTTTGCAGCCACATGACCAGCAGTTTCTGTAAACAGTATCTTCAGTCAGTTCCTGATGATGAACTTGATAGCTTAAAGGCCATGCTGTGGCACAGCTGCCAAATGTCATTCCTATGGAAAGAATATGATGAATTGCTGACTGGAAAAATATGGAGTATGGATGAATGAAATAAGGCACTTATTATATTAACCAGGCCTATGCAGTTTGTTGGGGAATACATTTAATTTTTATGGATAGCTGAAGTACAAGTGATTATTGTTATTGTTATTATTGGAAGGGGTGGGTTTCCCCATGCACCGTGACCAGTTTAATCTATTGTATGTCCCCCTTTTTTTAATATTCTACCAGTCTCTATACCCTACCGATACTGGTGCGTGCCATCAACCCCGACTCAGCCAGCGAGTTCGGCCTCTACTGGCTCAGCGGTATCTAGATGCCTCCCCCATCTACCAGAGGCATTAGAGACTATTGTTGGGCAGGAAATGTCCTTATAATTTGGCTCAGAGGCCTACTTGAGACATGAGGTTCTTTTATGTGCCGTTAAGCTATGACACGGGACCCACGGCTTAAAGTCCCTCCCGCAGAACTTGTTCCCTGAATTTTTCCGCCCTTAAAAATTCCACGACCTCTGCTGGGTTTGAACCGCGTACCTTGAGTCATGAGGTGGGAACATTACCCCTAGACTACGGAGGCTGCTAAGTACGAGTGATACTCTGTGGCCAGTTTTCATGAATTACCTTCCCAAATTATTGAGAATGAAATTTCTGTGAAAAGAAGGCAGTGAATCATGTGGTGAAGTATGGTAATGGTATTTTCATTAGCACTGTCTTTCATATATTTATACTTGCAGAGCATCTTTTTGTACATAGTAAGATACTATGTACATTTATAACCATAGAAAAGAAGTGGTAAAACTAAAACTGACATATATACACTAAAAATATGGGTCAAATAAACAGGATCAGTACTGCCACTATAGAAATATAAAGGAAATGCATGCTTTGTAGTAATAAATGATTTTAATGTAGTTTTAGAAGCCATTGAACATGAATTTTGGTTTTCATGTTGTAGGAGGGCAGGGTGACAATGTGTCGTCAGCGTAACACCTCGCTTGGTTCCTTTATTGCTGCTGTGAGTAAAAAATTTGATTATCCACTGTCTGCCTGCGATGGACTCCTGGTGGATGAGCTGTTTTATCACCATATTATAACGTCATGTCCCCGTGGAAAGTTCAAGATACTTAGTTCAAACGTAACCACCGTCGTCTTTGAAATCGCATTGTGTCGTGGACTCTACTTGGTCGACTCCATGGCAGCTTTCCATCCATATTCTCAGGTAACCAGCAGTACACGTACAGACAAACTTCAAATTCTGAAGCCACTGAAGTTAGAATAAATCACCAGATTTCTTCCAGTTATATCCATTTCATTTCACATTTTACATTTGTGTCACAAGAGTATAATAAGATGTAGGAATTGTTAGAACAAAAAACTGCAGTGCAACCTCAATATAGTGAGAATTTATAAAATTCTTAAAAATACTCATTCAAACAGATGTTCATAACGTATGAATATGCTGTTGCTGCTGCTTCTAGCATTGTATCCATTTCATACAAGGTGCACCAATTTAATTCCTAGAATGGCCTTTGAAAGCAAAATTTGCTTACCTATGCACTAGTGTCTGCTGTCACCTTTGAAATACTCTCCTTGTGAAGCTGTGCACTTCATGAGATGATGGTGCCACTGCCAGAAACAGTCTTGAAAATCATTTTCAGGAATACCTTGCAGTAACATTGTCATGTTGCATTGGATGTCAGGAATGTCAGCAAATCCTTGTTCATTCAGGGCACTTTTTAATTTTGGAAAGAGCCAAAAATCACAAGGGGCTAAGTCAGGTGACAAAGGTGGATGGTCCAATTTTGTAATGGATTTCTCAACCAGGAACTCATGAATTCTTAATGCATCATGCACAGGAGCATTGTCATGGTGGAGAATCCACTTGTCAGGCCAGAGTTCGGGTCTTTTCCTCTGAACAGATTATCGTAATCTTGTCAGCACTTCCAAATAATGCTGTTGATTCACTTTTTCTTCATACTTTGTCCACATTTGCATCTGTCCTTTGTGCTTTTGGCTGTCCACTTCTTGGGTTATCTTGCATGTCTTCTTGCCCTTTCTTGAACCGCCTATTCCATTCAGAAACGCCTGATTACTTCATAGTGTATTCATCATAAACCACTGTTAATACGGCTAATATTTCTTTAGCACTTTTACCAACCTTCACACAAAACTTGATGTTTATCCACTGCTCCAGATTCTTGTCACTCATTTTTCCACCAACAGCATACCACACACATGTTGTGCTCAGAAATGAACGACATGTTTGGTCTGTATGTATAGGGCAGGTTCGCTCAGGGCAGTGGCGGAAGAAATCTCAAAATATAAGTTAGATTTAGCGGGAGTACAGGAGGTGAGATGGGATGGAGCTGGCAGCGAGCCAGCAGGTGAATATACATTTCTGTATGGAAAGGGGAATGAAAATCATGGATTAGGTACAGGTTTTCTTGAACATAAGAGAATTGTATCAGCATCTCTGTATATGTTAAATTGTTTTAAGGAAAGTAGTCATACATTCTTCCTAGAATTTATTTGTATCAGGGGAGATTGTTACATGTGGATATTATTATTTTCTATTATTAGGCAATTGTCAGCTTCAGCAATGTTGCTATTGCTAGCTTCTGGTTGTGGTATGGGCCAGGTGGAATGGTATCAGCTTTTCATCGCTGGTCACCGAAGCCAGAAAAGGGTAAGTATAATTCAGGCTGAATTAGTAATGGAGATAGAAATGATTAGATATGGCTTTCAAAGTGGTGATTTTCAAGTTGTGATCTTTAGAATTATGATACAATGTAAGTCACCAATGTTTAGTTGCTGACTGCAACTTCAAAATCCAGCCCTGAGATGCCAAGTTGCTCCAATATATCAGTATCTGCATGAGACTACATGATGTCACAATTTAGATGACCTCAGTCTGAAAGGAGGTACTGAGTGGGTTTTCATGGCAATTTTTACTCATTTTCAGGAAGTTCTTGGATCAAGTCTCAGCCAGGGCACTCACTGTCATGTTTTGTTGTTTTCCTCAGTCCAGCAATTCAAATGCCAGGATAGTACCTTGATTAGGCCATGTCTGAGTCATTCCAAAACTCTTTCCAGTTCATCTATCCTTTTGCGCTGTATAGTCTGAGATACTGATAATGTCATTAAATTATCAACAAATGGAGAAGGGTAATTGTTGCAATTATGGTCGTTTCATCATTTGATTGTAGTGACAAGAACTGATGCCTCTGATTGTCACTGACATTATAAATACTGGATGAATGATGAAGATAATGGAGGGCTGAATGTGCAGTAGACCAGACACCATTGAGTGGCAAAAGCCATTCGCATTTAAATACACAACCTCATACTTGTCTGCAGCTTTCCTCATACACAGAAAAGAAGGGATTTTTTTTAAGACCAGGTGAAGAACATTGACTCTGTGTAAGGATATTGGCAAACTAACTAAATTGAATCCAATCAAATCTGATTGAGTTCGCCTCACTGAGATGTTGCTAAGGCAGTCACGCACCTTGACTCAGTTCAGGGGCACTGTGAAGCAGTTCTATGCTAAGCAGATATAGTCACCTTTGCAGTATCTTAATTAGTTAGACTCCATTTGACTTGACCGTACTCAATTAAGTTATTACTCATGCAGCATAAGGTTAGTGGGTGCCTGATGCCACCAGTACCCAGCTGGTTCTCTTCAGAATAAGGACACTGGACCATAAGGAATCAACTGTGTTCATAAATACAACCCACAGTGACACCACTCGCCACATCAGTCCTGAGATGGAAGTACACTCCATCTTGACATGGCTGTCTGCCTGCCTCAGAAGATTTCTTTCCATTTTAAAACTCTGCGGATCGGTGATTTAAATATTTAAATCACCCTGGGGACTGGCATTTTTATACCTACTACCCTAACTTGTGCACTGTTCACTTTAAAAATTAATATAAAATCTCCTAATTAATTTTATGAACTAAAATTTTTGGAGAACACTTATCAGTGCTCCTAGAAGTGGTTGAGAGTGTGATATTTCTGGAAACATTCCCCTTTGTGAAGTGCCATTACACAGAACTTGCAATGTAGACATACTCCTTTTTTTTGTGAACTGTGCGAACACGGCATTGCCTAGAAGGATGCTTCCCCTTGGAATGTTCACTCTTCACAATTTTCACGAGGGTATGTTTCTGCATATCACCCAAGAGTTGCCCAAGGGTGTCCACATGAGGCCTGCATGGGGTGGGAGTTGATGCGCTAGGTCGCACTAAGTCTGTCTGACTCTCGTTCTGCCGCCACCATCTGGTCTGTAGCCCAGGCCTTTGCCACATTCATGAGAAATGCTTTGTATTTTAATTTAAAATCAGGGTTTAGACTTTTGTAAATGAAAAATGAATTGAAAATGACACAATTTATAAGCCACAAGGCAACTTTCACTTTTATTATCTGTGGCCACAATTCTTTGTTGACCCCTGTCACTTCCACTGTCTGAGTCACTACTCCTCCACAAGGCATGTCAGATAGCTCATCGGAGAACAAGTCAGAGAGATCACTTTGCCTTCAACCGCTTCTGTCCTTGAAACCTATTCTCCTCTACTAACTTTCTGCCTGGTACATAAACAGCTGGAAGGGGCAAAGTTTATTTTTTTTTAGAGTAGGGACCCTAGCCAGCCAGGTCACGTTACCGAATACCTAGCATACATTAAGAAGATTTATTACGCAGTATTCATTGCAGTTGCGTGGCACCAGAGCAAGGTATAATGTGTTACAACTTAATGTTTCCTAAAATCATGATATCATGCGACTGGTCTGTCACGTTTAAAAGCGAAAAGCATGATCTCATGCGTCTGGTCCACAAAGTGTTAATATACTTTATTATGTACCCTGAACCTTCAGAGATAGAATACCTTACATTCATTTATTCTTCATTTATTCACCATTTTACTTTCAAAGTATGCATCCCATTTTGTGTCTTAACGTACTTTCACATGGGGCAGTCAACACAACAGTAACAATAACAGTAATATTCAATATGACAAAATAGATACTATTGTATCAACATTTATTTGTGCAGTTCTTATTGTGACATATTTCAACCTTCCTTTTTAGGCCATCCTCAGGCAATACACAATTAGTAGCATAAGTCCATGAACTGTGTCAGAGCATTAAATATGGATCTATATTTAGTGGGGATTAAAGTATTACAATTTTGATTTATGCAGTTAAACTTACAAGTCGTGATCAGAAAGATTAAAAATTAAAAATGTTTAAAAATATTCAAAGTGTTAAAAATATGAAAACAGGTTATCTGGCCACCAGTTGTTGGTCTGCTGCTGTTGTAATCTAGATAGTCAAGCGACTAATGAGGGGGCTTGCTGTGCTGGGCTCCTTCTCGGTATTTTATACCGTGTTTTATATGTACTCTTCTTGTTGCTATGTAAGGTCTATCCACAGTATTCTTTGTATTGCTATGTGAGGTCTGTCCACATTGTGTTGGGTAGGAATCCTGTTCTAATAGGTTTTGTGCGGGATTGTGAATGTTGTAGCTATTTTGTGTGTGTTTTTAAGTCCCCGTGATGGTGATAGTAATACTGTGGCAACAGTTTTGTCATAGTTGTTTGACTGTGGTGGCCAACCAACACCCAGCAGAACTCCCACACCAGTAAGAACATTCAACACAACTACAACCAGCAAACTAAACAAAACCAAAGGCAACCATGTGCAGCCCACATAACCAAAAATAACCAGAAGCAACTACAATAGGAGGAAAGAAAACTGCATTACAGTGAGCAGCAGAAGCCTTAACCGCAACAACCTGTACACCTGAAGGTGGCCAGTTCGGCAGAAACATGCAGTGTCCAATAAAGGAATAAGAATAAATAATGAACGACATTGCACTTATATGGTACAAACTCCTAAGTCAGTCTCCTGTTTCCTTCCATAGCCTTTGTTTTTTAATTTGACATCTCTTTTGTTTGTTGATGTTTTCCAGACAGGAGGTTTTCTCTGCAGGGGTTCTCTTAACATTGTTTTATGGAGGTTTTACTGAATACCATATTTCATGACACTGTCAGTAGGTAGACTGTATAATGTCGAATGGTGGGATGGTGACTGCTAAATTGGTAAGGATTTGGAAGTTGTCAGGGCCTGATTGAGGTACTATCCTGGCATTTGCCTGCAGAAACTGGGAAAATCACAAATTACCCCAGTCAAGCTAGACAGTTTCCCAACTGAAATTCAGTTCAAGCACTTAGACCATAAAACTGTTGCCAGTCTATCCAGTTTGTCTGAATGGGTTTTAATAAATGTGTTGGTATTTCTTACAGATTCACGTATAGTTACTGTTCCACATTTGAAAGATGAAATGTACCACTTGCTCCATACTGTCAGTGCACACCTAATTTATGCCCGTATGGGTAAGTTGTAGGCTAATATTCAGAATATAGACATAAGAGGGACAGTGGCGTGTGGTACTGTTTTTGGTAAGGGAAGCAGTGGTGTCTAATAAACGAACTGATAGCGATCAATTCACCAAAATGTACGTCACTTATTGAGTCAATAAGGTCGTTTTGTATTCTGTTTGATAAACCTGTAAATACTATACTGTTCTCAAGGTGAACATTGAGTTTATAATCATATTTCCTCAACAAGTGTACTAATTCCACATAATTTACCTTGGTGACCACAGAGGCCAAGTTGCCACTTTCCTAAATGGCAGGTGATATCAATCAAGCGTTCCATTATTTCTCTCTTTTCTTTCACATTTTAATCTGCTGTAGTATTGTCAGGCGCTTTTTATTGTCAAGTTGACAGTCAATTTGAGGTTTCCTGAACATAACAAGTTGCACTGTTGAAATAATGTGAGTCTGAGAGTTCTCATGTCGTTCCAATGCTTTATGAAGGTTGTTGATATCACCAAACCCAGTCTTGTTTCATACATTTTTTTTTTCATTGAGAAACAACAGGCATGGCCAACAAATTCAATTATCCTATATTATGGCAACTGGTAGCCACTTTCATTTTAGCTGTGGCCTGTGCGTGTAGTCTAATCACGCTCCCGCCCTTGTACCACAATATCAGACTTGCTTCCCTTAAACGCAGATAGCTTCTTTCTGATGCATCAAAATACGATCACAAATACAATCTTATGCCATATAAATATGTACTTACAATATTTTAATGAAACTGAATGTTACCTATAACACCCAACAAGACTGAAATCACACATAAACAGTTAATTTTCACATAACCATCGAAAGAACACAGTCCTTCGCTTCCATATCACAGGCATTAGCCAGCAAACCGAAAGTTGCTTCCATACTCACTTCATGTGAGATGAATTTTTACGGAGTTTAACAAAGGAAACTTGGTCCCTCCCCCCAAGCAGGCGAAGGGAGGAGGCGGAGGCATGTGGCCTTGAGCACGCGGTAAATTTTTACGAACATGACAATATTCACATCCTTATTATTCAAATTGAATTATTTATATATGACTTCTTTTCTTTTCGTTTCTTAACTACGGAAGCAATGCTTCCCTTGCTTCCATGCACAGCACGCCACTGCTTTCATGGTTTTCTCAGAGTGATGAAATTTAGAAACAGTCCATCTTTTCCCTGAGTCATTCAAGAAGAGCTGTCATCCAGTAGGGTCACTGATGATCTTTTCATTAGACTGTATTCCTAACAACAGCCAACAAAAGCAGCATTCTTTTCCAGTAGTTTTTGTGTAGAAATAATAAGTGGAAGGAGTTTTTGTTTCTGCTCACATGAATGTTTCACTCTTCACACAAATAAATTCATATCTGGTATTAGTGAGGTGAGAATAAAGAGGATGGCATAAGGTTAATTTATCTTTTGGAAGCAGATGTCTCAGGTGCACTTCATTTTTGTGTTTTCTTTGTACTTCCAGCTATGGAATTAAATTCAAAGTTTCATGACTCATTGTATGGAGACGTCACTTGGACGTCACCTGTTACCCTTGTACGGCTTCCATGGAACATTCCACTCCTCACCAACTGGCTGGAAGTCTTGTTGATTCAAATATACAAGGTACAATGTGTGTATTTGTTATTATAATCTAACATAACTGAAATAACATGGGTGTCACTTCTTTGAAATAGGAGATAGAGTAGTGGAGGCTGTCATAAAAATATGTTATTGTCAATGGGACTTCCTGTGTTCAGCATAGTCAGAGAGTATCATCTGATGTTAAAGTAGCATTAAAAGCAACTATTTGAAAATGTCTAATGTGAGGGAATATAACAGTTAAAACAGCTTGGTTCAAAATTATGGATATAAAATATTTGGAAAGGGCTGGAAACCGTTATGCAGCCATAATTATCGTAACCTCAGTCTAATGTGTAGAATGGTTATAGTCACATATAATTCCAATTACCAATCCAATCCTTGAGTGTAGTCATGGACACGTTATAGTATTGTAAATTGATCAGTCCAATTTTGTGAAACTTGTAATGAACATAATGCTCTCCAGTTCTCTAATTCCATAATTCATTTACAAATTAAGGTACTGGATAGTAGGAACGTGTAATGTATATTTATCTTCATCTGACTAATGCATTTCCTTACCACCATTTCCCCCTTTCAGTTCCTGCCCTCCAGGTTTCATGCGGTGAGCAGTCAGTTCAGTTAAATCATTTGCAGATTTACTAACTCATACGTCTCACTTGTTTCGTTTTATTTCAGTTTGAACGCTTCTTTATTCCATTGTGCCACTTTCCATTAAGCAAAAGTGTGGTTTCCCTCGTGGAAAGTGTATATAGAAAGGTTTCTGAAGGGAAGTTTCTTGTTAAAACATGTCTCATCGTAGCAGATGGAATTCTCAAGAGGAAAATTGAGGAAGCATCTGTGTGAGTATTACATTTCCAAGCACTGATAAATAAATATACCATTTTCTAGCGTACTTTTCTTAATTTGAAAAAATACAAGTTCTTGGAAGAACTAATCATCTAGTTTCCTTTGATGCAACAGAGATTGCATAAAAAACGGCACCTTTGACAATTCTTTTGTTGTTGCTTGTGTGTCTGATGCCATGGGAGTGTGTTTACAAAGCTTTTGCCTAGCAGCGATGGGAGCGATACACATACAGACACAAAGACACAAGTAAAGTAAGCTAACAACAGAGGAATTGTTGGAGGTGGTGTTTTCTGAGCAGTCTGGCAGTGGCTGTATGGAGAGGACAGCTGTCTGCTCAGGACCACAGTTAGCAATCAGTTGCAGCACACAGAAACCCATTGGTTGGAAGACGGAGCTGTTGAATATCAATGACCTCCACATTGCTTCTCTGACAGCATTATCCCAGTTTACAGGTGTCATGTCACATGTACATTTATATGGTGTTGCAACTGTTTTTTNAAATTAATAACTGGAGGTGTAGGAAGTGTGACATTTTCTACACCATTTTCTGTAGTATCTATAAGACTGAAAAATTCAAGGTCTGCTTAATTCCCTGCTGTCCTGTGGCGGAAGGCTTTTGACATTGGAATTATCTTCCCATATTTGTGTGTGCGTTTTTGTCTTCTGTAGTAAATCATTAACTGGTAGGAATGAGACTGGAAATAAGGAGGATGTGAAAAGGCTAAAATCTAGAACATCCAGGTCTGTAATATATACAGACTGTGCCACTTAAAACACAACACAGGCAGCAGTCACATACTGCAGTACAGAAATTAAATTGGAAACTGTTTCACATATGTAATGGATCATTCTATTTTTCATCATGATATGTGAGTTGATATAACCCTGGTTGCTAGGCTATTGCTGTTGCCAGTTGCGCAGAACACTGTAGGTTTGAGCATAGTGTATTCACAAGCAGAATGCATGTTCATTTTTGGTTCCTCCAGGCTTTATGAATAGACTATTTCTCTCAGGAATCCTGACACAGAAAAAAGTCAGGTGGTGTGGGATTTGGAGATTGAGGCCATGCCCAATGATGCAGTCACCAAAGAACTCTTGCAGTAAAGTACTTGTTGTGTTCACAGTACTAGTGGCTCCATCATGCCAAAACCAGCAAACCCTTTCATTTTATTCCACCACGGAAATGGGTTAGGTCAGAAGATTGTGACCATGTGCTGCCTTAAGTGTCACCCAAAAAAAACCAGTGGCTGTAGAATTCACACGTGAAACACTACAAATATGCACACATGAGCTGTCACTGAATACAGGGGAGCATCATGCACTGTGGAGTCAGTTGTTTTGACTGTTCATCTAACCACTCAGGTGGCACCACACTTCATCTGGGGTAGGAGGGGATTTTGAAACACCTGAAGTTCTTCATCTACAAGTGAATGAAACCGAGGGGAATGTTTAATTGTTGAAGCTGTATCCCACTGATGTGGCTCAGTGAATGATAGATAGAGGTACAGCCCTAATTTTAACCATTTGATCACTCAGTGAGAACTTGTTAGAGGCAATGCCGGTAGGTGTGATGGTCTTCTCAAATATTTCCAAGGTGACTGGATTAGTGTTTCAGCATCACATGTGGAGTGTGCCACCTGTCAACTGTTCTATGCCAGACATGTTGCTTGTCATAAACACATCCTGTTTTCTAAAATGTTACCAGCAGGTCAGAGTTGTCTTGTTTGGTACTTCCTTATCAGGGGAGACATTGCTGAATGCTTCATCAAGAAGAGCAGAAGGGTTTGATGCAGAGCAGTGTTCAAGAATGAAATCAAGTTTTGCTCGTAAATACATTGTGCTTACACCTGCAGAGCTGGTGCGCAGCTCGTGCACCATGGCAACCAGGGTGACATTGACTCGAGTGTTACTGCAAAATTTTCAAGAGTCCATTACATGGGGGAAACAGTTCGTGACTTCATTTCTGTACCATAATATGTGACTCTTGAATGGGTTCTGTTTTAAATGGCACAACTTGTATTGAGCACTCTGGTAAATCATATTGTCAGCTGTGTGTGTGAATGACTAAAGTCAATGTTCAGATTGGTAATTGGTCTTATTAACCACCTACAGGTCATAACTACAATTAATTATTACACTACTGCTGCTTTACACAATTTATAAACACTCCACCCTAATCTCTTCAGTCTATCTGCACTAGTCTTCACGGGTTTATAACAGGGGAACTAATCTCACTGAATCGCACACTCCAAATATTACACAATAAAATCTTCTAATCGCACGTTATATCTTCACAGGCTGAATTTCTGTACTCCTTGGGCTTACTGCTTGCTTGCTTGCTTGTTCACGTGCTTCTGCCTCTAGTATTACTCATAACTTGTAACTTCTCTAGTCCTCCAGCTTACTGCTATCCTCTTGTTTGCATGCTTGTGCCACTACTACTCACTCATATCTGACCTGAACAAATTCTGTCACATATTTATATAGCTGCAGAACAGATATAGACCTACAATAAACACACATCATGTGATCACTATCTAGTCAATTTATTGGCGCATTGGTCAGATCTACAGAAAACACAGCTTCCTCTGTTGTTACATGTTGGACTGCATTTACAGAGCTGTTGCCTGGCAACGTATTGTTATAATCCTTTACAATATTTATCAAAGTTCTTGAAATTAAGTGTCTCAATAAGTGAAGTAATATATAGCATGATAGTACATGAAAAGATCTAATCTTGGATGAGAAAATAATAATAGAATTGATCTTAGATGAATAGAGTGGTAAGCTGAGGTCTGAATTTGTATGGCTTTGGATAGTGTCCAGCTGTAGGCTCTTTTGAACATGGTAATGAAACTTAAGCTTCCTGTAAGAGGAGAGAATAGTTTGAATAGTTGAATGTCAGTTGCTTCTCAGAAGACACACTCCTCCATGAGGTTCGTTATAGAGGCAGTGTGTATTGTTGAAATGTTACATAGATGTAAGCACATATGTTACATGGAAACCGATCTTTGTTGGAATTATGTTCATGTGTCTTGGAGTTGCACTCTAGCAGCGTTCTGCATTATCAGACACACATATGAAATTGAAATAATGTTTTCAGGTGCTACAAGCCTCGCAAGTTGCTGTATGATGTTATTCCAAGACTTAGCCACTACATGAAGTTCCTTGAAAGAGATGCATATAGAATTTTAGAGGGTAAGCTAGTACATAAATACACTTACTCATTTTGTATATCATTGTAATCTTCACCATCCACCCACAGAGTTGGGCCACTGGATTAACCCATTTTAGTCTTGGCTGTCTCACCATTCTGATGTCCTTTTGAGCGAGTCCAAGTTGCCATGGAACTTAACATTTCTATCATGAGTTTGTGGTCTTCCATTTGGGGGACATGGAGCCCTTTGTTTATGTATGTGTGAAGTTGATAACATTCATAACTGTAAATATTTTGATCACTCTTTCTGTGGAACACATTTCCAAGTATGTGTTCATGCCAGAAATCTGAGGTTGGCAAGCAGTATGTAGTACCAGTACAGTGGTCTGCTGTGAAGAAAAAAAATGATTGAAAATGTAATTATTAAATCAACGGTATTGCTAAAATCAAAATTCTTTAAAGTGTGTAAATGTTTTCATGTTGTGACATGATGCCTGAGAGCTGGAATAGATGGGTCAGAGAAGTGCTACAATAACGCCCATTACTAGGCAACGGCTCTGTAAAGAAATTTCCAGCAACAAATATCCACACAACAATACAGGAATTGTTTGAAGTGGTGTCTTCTATGCAGTCCATGCCAAAGTTGTGTAGGGAGACCAGTGGGACCAGGACTGCTGTCAGTTGTTAGGGCTCGTTTGCCTGCCAGTGAGGACAGGAACCATTGAAGACGGAAGCAGTAAAGGAAATCCCTATTGTTAGAAGCCACTACCAAGCAAAGAGTATATGAAGACAGCAGTTATATGCTGCTGTTGTTATTTCTAGAATGTGCAGACTAGTAAGAATGTTATAATATTTGTAGTTGCAAGTTATAAGCATTCAATAAATCCAGACTCTGTATCTGGACACTGATGTATGAAAGTGTGTATGCGTGCCCGCCCGCCCGCCTGCCCGCACATGTGGGCATGCCAGAAACCAGTGTATTTTTCTTAACTGTTTCTGTTTTAAATGTAAGTTATTTTGTATAAGATCCTAACCTGTATTTATGAACTGGTCCCAGTACACTTTTAAGAATGATATAAAATATTGAATTTTTGAAGCCTTTATATCAGTTAAACAGAAACCTTGCAAAATGTTTGGTTGTGTACTGATATCAGAATTGCCAGTGGGGCTCGTTTTGCTCATCTGTCATAAGTTTTGTTTTTGTGGGTATGGAACCAAAACAAAATTTAAATAAATGGTAACACTGTTTGAGTAAATGAAAACTGTCTCATACCTGGGTTGTAATGTTTTGTTTGAAGGAAACAAACTCATGGTCACAATTACTGTGACTTTTGAAGAATGCCCTTGTTCCACATGTGATCCAAAAAACATCAAAATTGAAATTGTGCAAATCATTGTCTCATCTCACCCTCCTTTATGTCAATGAAATTTGGGCAGTGAGGCTAGACAAAATTTTGGTTATGGAGTCTTTGTGACAAACACCTCTCAACGTCAGAAGAAATTATGAAAGTGTAAAAGAGCTCAAAGAGAATGCAGGGGAAGAAAGTCTTTATACATACTGAAGTATCTGCCTTCAACTCATCCACCAAATGGAAGACCACAAACTTGTAACAGTTTTTAAAATACCACCCAACAGGAAGAGAGTGAGTGACACGAACACCATTTACAGGAGTGCTCAAAGGAATGCTAAGACCATAACACACCAAAACAAATGGTCTGACTTTGTGATTGTTTGATAACAAGAAAAAAAAGTTGAGCTATGGTTTCCATTTATGTAGGTTGTCCAGAAAGTAAAGACTTTGGTGATTAAAAAAATAGATGGATAAAATTAAAATAATTTATTTTGTATTATTTCTACAGAACTGAAATCATTTTTCTACATAATCTCCATCAAGATTCAGGAACTCGTCATATTGTGTGATGAGTTTCTGTATGCCTGTGTCATAGAAATCTGCTTCCTGTCCACTGAAGCAATCTTTAATCATCTTCTTCACTTTCTCATCGTTACCCACACATATGCCGCCAAAATACTGCATCAAGTGTGTGAACAAGTGAAAATCACATGTAGCCAGTTTCAAACTGTAGGAAGGATGTAAAAAAGTTCCAGGCAAACTCCCTGTGCAAGTGCTATGTGCAAATAATTTTTACTTTCTGGACAACCCTTGTATATTAAAGTAATGTGTGTGTAGGTACATGAATTTGTTCAGAATAAATTTGTAAAAGTTTTGGTGTCCTGGAGCTCCAAATTCAGCATCTGCTTGTGTGACTGTACACCCATATAATGTGAAAATTATAATCTATTGAGCTTCATGTCCACTATGATATTGTAATTTGTTGTTTTGTTTCAGTTATACTGAGGAATGGCTGGAACAAGGAAGAGCAAGAAAGTGGTGAAAGTGCTCCTTTGACTGACAGAATTAAAGTTGATCTGTCTTCTTGGAATTCTGTCCCAGACATTGATGAGTACTACGGTGAAAATTTTCGGTATGTGAACACTTGTGTAGAGTAGAAATATTTCTGGACTTTGGATATATAAATCATCACCAAATGTTGCTGTCAAGTAGTAGCACTTCTGTTTTGTGTGTGATAGGCACTGGGTTCAACTCTCAGTCTTGGAGACTGGATACAGTGATGTCTCCTCCCCCTGGTAGTCCCTTGAGGCAAATGTCTAGATAGTGCCACAGTTTAGGTTGCAGCCACTTCCACATCTTTTCCATTCCTGTATTTATTTGTCACCCTGTCATTCAGGGCTACCATAGTCTGAATTACCAGAAGTGTCATTAAGTAAAAGATAAATACAGTAAAACTTGGTTATAGCAACATCGGTTTCTGCGACACCTTGTCTATTGCGTCAAATATTCAATGGTACGAACTAATTCCTCATAAAGCAACTGTTTTTATACCTTGCTTAGTACGACATGCCCAAATGCATCAACCTCGTATGTAACGTCATTTTCATTCCTGAATTTCTCTGATATCATGGGAAAGTTCGATGTGTCTGCCCACCCTCACTTTCTCTACTTGCTGATGTGACTGTCCTGGAAGAATACGACCGCAGGCTGCAAGAGGAGCGTGGGTTTTATGTGAAAACAAGGGTGTGGGGTGGGACTGCGTGAATAGTGCAAGAGGACGCGGCAGGTTGTTAACTGCATTCCTTTCCTAGAATCTCGTCTAACAGGACCTCACATTGTCTACTTACCCTATAGTGTTCCTGCCTAAACCCAGAGAAGTGCAGTAGCGAAAACATGGCAATGAAAAGGAAAGTTTTAAGCATTGAAGAGAAAGTTAAAGTGATTCGTGAAATAGAAAATGGAAGGAAAAACGCTGATGTATGCCGCGAATTTGGTTTGGTGAATTCTACAATAAAAACGATATGGAGAATCTATATTAATTCCACGTTAATGTTACGTTAGTCTGTACTTAACTACGTATTTCACTAAAAAATTGCAACATTTTAACTCGGTTTTTGGTAGATTTTTATGTGACTAACATAAGGCTACTGTAGAAGTGCCCATTTCGGTTACGACATTCGTTTATAACGACACTATTTTTAGGTCCCTTTGATGACGTTATAACCAAGTTCTACTGTATGTTCTCAATCTTCTTAAGCAGCACCCCACAAAGACAAATTGGGAAGTGGTGGTATAACTCCAGTCATTATCAACCAGTTATAAATTTAATAAAGAACAATGCTGTTTTTGATGTATGAGGGGCTACCCAAAAGAAACCGAACTTATTTTTTTTTAAACTTATTTATTCAAATTTTAAGCACAAACCTTCAATCCCCTTCAAAGTACTCTCCACTTACACTAATACACTTGTCTAGTCTTTTATTCCATTTCTCAAAACGTTGTCTAAATTCATCTTTTGAGATGCTTGACAGCGCCTCCGTCGTTTTTTCCTTCACCTCAGCAACATCAGCAAAACGCTTTCCTTTCATGTCTCTTTTGATTCGAGGAAACAAAAAAAAAAAAAAAGT